GCCAATATATCGCTCGAATAAAGTGGGATTTGATAGCGAGAAGTTGCCTTTGTAAGATCACGCGGTCTGTACAGTAGCCTAGGCAGTTCGAATGCTTCACCGGGGAATGAGACACAAATTAATCATCCTGACATTAACAACTTGAACACGAGCATGAACGTTATGAGTCACGGCGATGTTGGATGGGGTCCTTGAGACGCTCTCTGTGATGTGAAGTTTGTTGTCTGGAGTACTAATGTTCACAGGTGCGGAACCATCACAGCTACTTGTTATCTCGACCCTGATTGGTCAAAGCTCAGAACCAACTTTTCATCGCTGAGTTGTAGTAAACTTGTCTCTCCTATGGAGAATAGGAAAAGAGATGCTAGTAGGTCGAATGTATAGGCAGCCAATACGGCATGAGAAGAATGAGAATCGTTGTAGAAGGCATTTGATAAGCGAGCCCTATTCTAGCCTCCACCAAGGTGGCTACTGTGCCCTAGATTCAGATCTACGGCTCTGTTTGAGTATTTACAGGTCTTGAATCTGGTATGCCTAATCCCGACGTTCAGGAACTTTGGGGACCAGCCACCAGAAAATGGTGCCAACTACAATAAGTGCCAATACAATCGGTTGAAGAACCTCCACACCCGCGTGAGTGGCGATCAACCCAGTTACGGAAGGGAAGATGGCACCACCAGCCTGTGCGAGAACAAAGACAAAGCCTAGGACGTATTAGTATCATGATTAACCGTTCATTTCTGATGATTTGTGCCTCACTGAGTGCAGCTGCCTGTATCTTCCTTGGGAAGATCTTCGAAGCAACGGAAACGCCCTGAGTTTGACAAGTCAGCAGAGCATCTGATACGATCTTGTGCTTCTAACATACTGTTGCAAAGAAGGGTCCAAAGAAGAAACCCATAATGCTCAAAGCTGTAGCGTTGGCGATAATGTTAGGGACCAACCAGAAGATCAGCTGGAGAGCGATGCATATCGCGCTATATACGAGTAGCATCCGCTTCTCTCCAAAGCGAAACGTAGGCTCTCCGAGAAACAAGCGGCCGAGAAACCTCCCAGCATAGTAACCAGTAGGCACATAACCCATCTTTGAGAGGTCTCCTTTTCGGACCGTTGTGAGATATTCGACCACCCAGCCTGCATAGATTAGTTTGGTTGCTACTCACCATGGGAAATTAGTATCACTTACCGCTAGATGTAAACCAGGCCCCGAGCTCGAAGAAATAAAACAAACTGATGATCCAGACGTCTCTGACTTTCAACAGCTCCCCCATCTCCTGAAACGCCATGCGGTTCTTCTGCTTGCTTTGAACTTCACCACCTTCAGTTTGAGCCCCTTCCTCGTCCGCGGTCTTCTTTTGTCCCCAAGTCCATAGCGAGTCCGTGAAGCTCACGGCTACCCCAACCAGGTTCACAACGCCAATCCCGATGAGGACGAAGTATACTTTCTTCCAGCCATCGCCGGTCTCTCCCACATCAGCGTTGCCACTGAGGCCGGCACCACTGGTATTCGACGCGATTGCAGTGGCCACCAGTGGCCCAATGAGACATCCAAGAGCATACATAGCGTGGATGAAGCCTAACCAGCGATGGGCAACGTTGACGCTGGTAACGAAGGTGTTACTGTGGGCATCTTGATATGCCATGCCCAGGGCTTGTATGAAAAAAGTGACACAAAATAAAGGCAGGGGTGCCCATGGCCGCAGGCACTGCGCCACTAGCTGGAGAATAGCACCAAGGAACAAAAGATGGCCAAGCTGCAAGTGAGCAGTCAGGATGGGGTTGGTCACCGCGGCGAAGAGCCAGCCGACGAAAGTCGAGGCATATCTTATGTCTCCAATGAGCACACATCATTATCACTGTATAAGTATACGGCAACTTACATTATAGCCACTTCACCTGTGCCGATTGAAAATGAATCTAGAATATATGGAATGACTGGCCCCAGCGTTCCATCGTTGACGCCGGCACAGAAAAAGGAGAACCCGGCCACCAAGAGCTTTAGCCATGGCGAGGAGGGCGACTGCTGATCAACGCGGACTTCTTGCTGTGGTTCGGCCCTGAGCGGAGATGTCTGCTTTCGAATCTCGCGCAGCTCATACTGGACCGGAGCTGGACTCTCGATAGTGACTGTATGGGTCGTTGTAGACATCCCGGCACGACTCGTAATGCTCAACGAAGCGTAGACGGCATAGAATCGACTGTTCACATATGAGGAATTGGCCGAAGGTCAAGATTGACGAGATGCCTACACGTTCACATCACTGAATATAAATGTAATTCTACGGCCTCGATTTCCCCTGGTAGGCCGGGGGAAGGTGTTCGGTTGAAATCTGGCAAATCTTCGGAAGCTCGAAACTTGTGGGGTTGATGGGAGCGGGCCGGGAGCCGCCACCAGCCTCCCCAGGTACTCATGATCACATTTGTTACTCAATCTGCGCGTTACCTACCTAACCTACGAGTTGCTTACCATAACAGCGTGGAAATGCAGTAATGATCAGTAATGAACGGTCATGAGAATGTATGATTGTGGGATAGCTTCTTCTGGGTAACAGTGGAGTGAAGCGTTAATGGATTGGAGTCTTACACTTTTGGGAACCGTAAACAAGCTCGGAATCAGTCGTCACCAAAAACGGTGGTAAGTGCTACACACCAAACGAGCACGAGCTCCAGCTTGAGGGAATGCGCTCGTCGAACTTGTCTATGACTTTAACAATTCAACGTGTCGGGAAGCAGATACTTCATCACTAGGCAGGGAACTATAAATGCAAGGCCACCAGGCGTGGCGCGTCGGGTGCGAATAAATGGCTTCTTCCTCATGGCGTTACTCCAGGTAACGCTCACAATGAAAAAGAGTTGATCAGCGAGCTGATTTGTATCAAAAATTGCGCCCAGGTCGGCCCCGAAGGACAAACCAGACTGGTCAGCTCCACGATGTGCAATGCAGGCTTCCCAACCTACTTCCGAGAATTCTTGAGCTCCCGAAAGTCAGACAAGGTAAGTATACCAAGAAACAAAAAGAATTTGGAGAATGGAGGGAGGGACAAGAGGTTTATATACTCAGAGAAGATGGTCAGTGCGAGCGTGCAAACTTTTGTCACCGCCTTCCAGACACTAGTGGTTATTAGGAATTCTGCCACCAAAGCTCATTTCCCTCGCCCCTGCGTGCCTGAGGCGCTCACGATAGTTCTCGATGTGTGCCCTGCAAAACTGTGTTGTATAGGATCTCAATTCATCACTCAGACGTAACTTTAGGGTAAATGGTAAGCAACGCCGATGATACGGGTGATCAACAAGTAGCAGCCGGTATAAACGCCGTAATAATTGTGGCAGAAGAATACTTCATATACAACACCTAAACATCAGAGTGAATCATTCCAGATTTAGCATGGTGCAATACATTTTCACACCTTGGCGGGACCGGAGCGAGCTGCTCCAAGTGCGCCGACAATTCTACCCACGATCCCCATCTTCCCAAAACAAGGCGCTGCAGTCACAGCCTACGGAAGTGTGGTCTCCGGAGGAGGAAGACGAGCGACGTACTGCGGTCGCGAGGGTGTTCATGTGGATGCACCGTGGCAACTGTCCTCATGTAGTTGAGTCGACTGCCTTGCTCGTGTCCGCGATCCTAGAGGACCACTCGAATTCTTCGAGACTACACAACGCGAGTTCGTCTTCGTCCAACTATGCGGTACTGGCGGCGTATATGAGTGCCTTTACTCGGTTAGTCAATCGTCTCCTTAGGCGTTCTTTTTTTGGACTTAATGTGATCTAGATTTGTGACTGGCTTGTTGGACAGTCACCAAGACAAGCAGCGAAAGTTGAGCATGTACGGCGTGGCCAAGCAAATTGGTCTACCCGCATCGTTCGTGGAGCTCAGGCACCAGGCTACGCATGAACCATTACCACCGCTGACACAGTTGCGGACGGCAGCGAGGAAAGCACTGGCGTGGATATGGGACTATTACTGGAAGCATTTGCCTGATGATGATGGCAGCGGCATCAACAGCCAAGATTCTGGCGAAGTCGCGTGTCGACAAACGCTGATAGCGTACTTGCGCGCCGAAGATCAAGACAGCGACGATGTTAAGGATTCGCTTGTTAAACGGTTACGACGCTGGGACGATGCTTTGGTTCTCAGAAGCCTCTCGGACATAGGAGACTCAGACAATCAGGTTCTATTAAAGACTGTGAGACTATCAAGGGAAATTTTAGGGAGGCCAGCAATAGACAAGAACGAGTCGACATCCAACGATTTGGAGCAGCTTCGTACAGAACTAGAACTATCAAAAACGGAGCTTCAGAAGCTGGAAGAGCCGTTGATGGATGTTGGAGAGGATGAAAAGCCTGAGACGGCGGCTGGATGGACTAGATACCCAGGCGTATGGACACCGAAACCTATTGGCGCCGTCTGAGATACCCAAATGAGAATTGTTGCAAACTGTCTACGGCCTTCAGCATGATTTATGATTGAAATTATCCTTCGGCGCGCAAGTACACTATCAGCGTCTGTCGACACGCGACTTCACCAGAATCTTGGCTGTTCAAAACCTACTATATGACAAGTCCATTCGTCGATCAGCACTTTGGACTTTGTTCCTGTAAAGCTTGTGAGAACTTTCTGTATGTTGTCCCGTGATATTTCGTGATATCTTCAGGGGGTACATGTGAGGTATCATGTGACAATCTCCACAGTGTTCCCCGCGACTTGCCGAGCGCCGTCATTGGAGGAAGCTCCCGCCGCTTCGGGGGACACGATGGGATCCAATCCTATTTATTGATTAATAACGTCATACAGAGGATTGATCCTTATTTATATTCAGCTGGAATAACCACGAAAGCATTCATGCATCGCCTTGCCCTGAGGAAACCGTTCTTCACACAAAAGATTGGAACTCTAGCCACCGCTGTATGAGTTCAAATGAGCATCTTTGATATCGTCCTCTCGCTGACAAATGAGATAGCTCGCCTTCACTCGCGCCATGCATATTCAGTCGATTCCCATGTGTAAGTGAACATGTACAAGCCGAGTGCGTTCAAATACGTTAGAACATCTGCTAACTGGCGACTATCCAGGGGTGGGCAGTAGTGACAACTACGCCTATCTAGTTGTTGACGACAAGAGCAAGGATGCAGTCATCATCGACCCGGCGCATCCCAAAGAGTACGCTAGGAATTTTCATTACCGTATTATGATACTCACAGGTCGAAAATAGGGTCAGCCCAGTGCTCAAGAAGGCGATCAGCGATGGCAAGATCAACCTCACAGCGATCGTCAACACCCATCAGTCAGTACCCTGTACCCCTCACTAAGATCACTTATTTACCATGACTTAGTCATTGGGATCATGCTGGTGGCAACGATGAACTGGTAGGTCGATATCTATTCACTGCGGATAATGCGGCAGTCTGACTGAGCCTGTCTAGCGAAGCGACCTGAACAAGCCCACTTTGCCAATCATCGCAGGAAAGGACGCACAATCGGTCACAAAAACTCCAGCCGATGGTGAGAGCTTCAAGATCGGAGACATCTCTGTCAAGGCTCTCTACACTCCCTGCCATACCCAGGACAGCATCTGCTGGTACATGGAAGACGGCGATGACAGGGTAGTTTTCACTGGCGACACCCTTTTCCATGCAGGTATGCTCACGTCTTGCCTGTGTGATCCGTTGCGGGCTGTTTTGACTAATCACTTGAGCAAAGGCTGCGGAAAGTTCTTCGAGGGTACAGGCCCGGAGATGAACAAAGCTTTGAACAAGACTCTGGCAGCATTGCCAGATGATACTCGGGTCTTCGTGAGTGGAACAAGGGGGCCTATCTTGCCGACTGAAACTGACAGCTTGTAGCCCGGTCATGAGTACACAAAGTCAAACGTCAAGTTTGCCATCTCTGTCATTCAAAATGAGGCCATCAAGAAGCTCCAGAGCTTTGCCGAGAACAACAAGGAGACGCAGGGCAAGTTTACTATTGGAGATGAGAAGGTAGGCAGTGTCCCTCTTGCTCCAGGGGTGCCTTGCTAATCGCAATTGCCAGGCGCACAACCCTTTCATGCGAGTAGACGACCCAGTCATTCAAAAGGCAACGGGCGCAACAAATGGAGACGACGTTATGACCAAGCTACGTGAGATGAAGAATAGCTTTAGGTAAGTTAGTTGAAGCAGGCTCAAGAGCCAGTACATCTAGACTGGCCTAGGTTGAGTGAAAACCAGAGACATCCGTCACAAAACTATGAGATGATCACGACTGGCATTGAGGAAGCAAGGTGGCACCGCAAATACAAAAGTTCTTTCAGTATTTTTGTCCAATTGATCGATGTGAACATCATGGAGGCGTACGCCAGTAGAAAGTTGAATATTCAAGCTTGGCGTGTCTAGACATTCGCGTCATCCCATTCATTTTCACCACGATGAACACAAAAGGCAGCAGAAGAATGTCTCCACTACAAGCACAGTCAACAGTTCCTGGATTGGAGCTGGCGACATCGACCGTTAGGGGGAGGCCAGCATAACTGGCTCTCATCTTGCTTCACTGTCCACACTTGCTCGTTCTGTAAATAATAGGCAACGGCAAGCTCTAGCAAATTTTGAAGCGGGAGCAAAGGATAGAATCGAGGTCTGTACCAATAGAAATGTGACATTATCGAATGAAACGAAGATCCTTTATCTTCTCGACCGTCTCGTTTCTCTCGGTATCCTCTCTTCGTCCTCTGCGAGTCCATCCGTATTAGCGGATGATGTGAGTGTTGAAAGGAGCGAAAGCCCGTCCAGTTGATTTTTTTCCTAGCGAGTTTTAAAAGGCTTTGCGGGTCCTGAGCGCCCACGTGAGACCGTGCATACCACGGGCTTGGACCCCACTATCAACCGTCACGGCATCATCGATAGTCTTTCCCTAAACCACACATCCCGGTATCTATATTGATATCCCACCGAGATGGTAAGTTGGCCTCGCGATGCTTCAAAGTACACGACTGGGCAGATGGAATAGCTGACCCAGAAAATAGCCTCCGAAGCGGAAGGCCGGCGCAGGTGCCGACTCCGGCGCGCCGACAAAGGCAAGGCAGTCGAAGCTCGCCAAGGAGAACGACATCACCGCCCAGGAGGAAGCGGAAATCAAGGAAGCATTCAGTCTGTTTTCGGAGCCCATGGAGGGAGAGAAGGAGGGCGTCATACCAACCGACGATGTGCGCCGCGCCATGATGTACGCTCCTCCAGTCCCGCCGTGGCAATCCAGCTACCGTGTCGTCGAGTCGGCTGGTGCATACAGCTTGGAAGATTCTACTGTTTGAGTCGAACCCCAATTGCTAATTCTACTACCGCAGTGCGCTTGACATACCTCCGAAAGACAAGGACGAGCTCAACGAGTTCATATCGATCCTCGACCCGGACAACGAAGGCTTCGCGACGTATCCGTCATTCGTGGCTATATGCGCGCTGAAACTACACGCGCGTGACGACGGCGACGAGGCGCACCTCCAAGAGGTCAACGACGCCTTTGCGCTGTTCACCGGCGGCAATGTCGACGGATCAATCACACTGGCACACCTCAAGCGCGTCGCCGCTGTGCTGAAGGAAGAAGTCGACGACGAATTGCTGCGCGACATGATCCTAGAGGCGAACGGTGGCAGTGGCGTGGGCAAAGGTGTCAAGAAGGACGAGTTCGAGAAGGTCATGCAGAGGGCAGGCGTTTGGAGATGAAGTAACAGGCTCAGCAAGATTAAGCCAGTGCTGTGGCAGAAGAAGCCTGTCGACGCCTGGCAAGAGATGCCGTCCTGGTCATAATCGTACCGACTGCCTGTGGTTTGGAAGGACAGTTCGTTACCCTACCCTTCAGCATTGCAGGGCGCCAGCTTTGGTGGACCGTATCTGCGATCGGCGGATAAAAAGGGATCGGGTGCCCGATTAGAGGAGGTATCAGAGGAGTCGAGAGATTGCCGAAGAACTGATGTTAGGTCACGATGTCACGATAGAACGCTATAATCGCCCATAGTCTTGATCACGGTTGGGGAGCATACGCTGAGATAGCCATTGGCTCGGCGCCACGAAGTTATGAGAATTTGTTATGAAGCAATCTGACTGTGGGTGCCCCTCCCTGGTGTCTGGAGTGCACCAGTCATCTCACGATCAGTAACATTGGCCAAAGGTTCATGGTCTGCATAATACCAGTGACCAGATGTTCGAACACCCTCAGCAACCTGCTAAACAGATTTTCAAGGAGTTGTGCAAACACCCGACTCCCCTGCACGAGGCTGAGGAGCCGATATATCTACACACGTCTATTATGGGATATATGGACCAAGTTTATGAACAATAAATCTCGTCACAGTCGAATGTTGTCTCTCGAGCGTTGTCTTTTGGCGTAAGAGCATCTTAGTAAAGGGGTCGAGATTAATATCACGTCAAATGGAGGCTGATCTGGTACAAGCGGAGGGCATCCTGAAGTGAGAACCCAAAATCAATCGAATGACAATGTAGCCAACCCACTGGACACTAGACAAAGTTAATGAGTAGTGCTTCTAGGTGATGCTGTTACAAAGTGGCATTTCAAAGCGCGTCTGCCATCAACAACATCCGTCAAGCCTTAACAAGATATACTCCCCAAGTCGAGCAGTCATCCTTCTTGTCATAGCAGTCATAGGCATAGCCATCCTGCGCATACCAGACACAATACGCAAAGAGCGGATCATTCAAGGTGTCTGCGATCCAACCATACGTCGCCGAGACGGAATGCTGCCTCGCGCAGTATTTACCCTCGCAGTTGCCGGACTTGCGAACCAGGCAAGTCCTGGCGGCGACATGAGCAATAGCCTGGCGGCCTGGGCTTTGAAAGTCGCGAATGACCTGTGCGCAGTCTCCGATATTTGGCGCTGTTGCCTGAGGGAAGACAATCAGGTCCAAGACTCAGGGGTGGGAACACGAGAAAGGAGACATACAGGACCGCATATATGTCCGTCTCGTTTGTTCAGGATCCGGCCAGCAATTCCATTCTCATGTGTGGACAACGTCTCTTCGTGGCCATCGTGATGTGTGATAGTGAAGCCAGGGGGTAGAGACCGGTTTGCTTCGCGTCTATCGTCTGCATTAACTGGGTTAGGCCCAATGCCTTGAGAAGTCATATGTGATAAGTCATGAGGCGGTATAGCGTGCGCGATAGCTGTGAGCCAGCTTAGCGCAAAGAACATCATTGGCTGACGCATGAATGGCTCTGAAGTCCTAGTTGAAATCTGAAGAAGAATCTTAGGAGAGTCGACGGATCATTCCTTAGGTCATGTTTATCGAGAAACATGGAGTGTGTTCCCATTTTCTCCCGTCTTCTGACTTCACAAAGCACCTCATGTCATCTCAACAGCTTTAAGTCAAGAATCTTCACCCTTGGAGGAAAGGACGTTGAAAGTGTCAACGATCGTGCTTGCCGATGAGAGAACTTCTAGAAGAGGCACTGCCGAGAAATGAGGCGACATAACCCCTGCCTCTAAAGGTGCTTTCCGTCTCACAAGTCTGAGACCCATTTGTGCCAATGCTGTCACAATATGCTGTGCACCTCCCACAACTGATGATTAGTCTTGTCACAGCTGATATCATTCAAATGATTCGCCAGCGTCCCAGCGTCCCAGATTCTGAGACCTGGCCCAACGGACCAAACGTCCGTTGTCCCTCCTCCAGACTCACTAAAGTCAATGGTTCCAAGCCGCCAGATGCGCTTCCTTCATCACAAGGCAGGTTGAGCCCATGGTACCTACCCCGTTTTCCCGGAGACAAGCATATCTGTGGCAGCGCTGGGATGCGCCTGCAAGTCATGACTCGTCATTCGTGGACTTCTGGCGCAAGGCGCCAAGGCGCCAGCCATATTTGCTAGCTGAAGTTCATGCATGTCTCTGGCGCAGAAACGAGACAGAAAAGCAAGCGAGATGGATAGAAAGAGACTGCTTGTCTGTCAATCTTTCTCCTCCGTGAAACGGAGAGAGCGATGAAAAGTTTGGAGAGGCGACACCCCAGGGTCTTATCAACGGGCGGGAGGCGGCTCGAGATGAGCGGCGGGAACAGCCAAAAGGGCAGGAGGTCAATGAGAAAGGCCAAAGATAGACTGAGGTGGTGATAACACTCCAGCTGGTCAATGGCGACCCCGCGACTTGTTGAACCGAGAAGCTGAGGAGCGTAAGGAGGAGGGGTGGTACAGGCCATCATCCATGGATGCTTCTTTACGTGGTGTGTTGGTACTAACGCCATGCAGCAGGCCATTAGTGGGTTGTGGTGGGTTGAGGTCCAGACTGTTGGCGCCTGTGGCGAAGGTAAACATAACCGCAAGTGGCACTGCAATCGCTTGGAACCAGATCTTCGGTTGAGGAAAATGAAAGGGAGGGAGGGACGGAGAGATCCACGTCGCATGCAAACTTACACAGCTATGTACCATGCAACACATGCTGTGTGAAAGAGATGCCAACCCTGGAGCCCGACGGGATATTCCATTAGCATGAGCAGAATACTACGCAGTAAGATCAACTTGCGCCCGGTCGCAATCGTGGTCTGAATTAAGCCATGTTATATAGCCTGATGACATCAATTGCGGCCGCGCATAAAAGCCATGCTAAGCGATAGCCCTCATCTATTCAGCGCAGTTCTGAGACCGGCCCAGGCAAGAGAACAGAGCAGGGCACCTTCCTATATGCGGATCTGGAGTGCGGGCAGGTACGAAAGACGAGAAACAGGAAGACGACACTTCAGCGCGGTTGCCTCCTTTTGGTTCTCTGACGATGATGGCTCTTTCCTCTGCTGCATGACATACCTAGGTACCCTATCCTGTGTCTTCTTCTGGGAACGACGGGGATGCGCGCCGATTATGTCGGACGATTTCCTGCATTGTTCTTCGAAAGTCCCTTTTCCATTGAAGCTGGCCAGAGTATTGACTGTACAGTACTGTACCAATTCGGGCCTTTCAAGAAGGTTGCACCACACCGCACCGATGCGATGCGATGGTGATGCGGTACAATATCATTGATCGGGGCAGGCGCCTGTCGCGTCCCAGCATATGTACGAGCAGCAGTCTAGAGCAACGTACCACAATACGGGAAGGAGCAAGTCAAGTTTAGGTTACCTGCCAGCTGCTTCTAGTTTCAGTCCCAGTCAATTGGAAGGGGGGAAAAGTGGAAGGGGCGACGGAAGTGGCCCCCGTCGCTTCTCAATTATTATTATCAGCCTGTCCTATCAGTTTCGGGGAGGCAAGCTCAAGCACAACTTTTATTCGCTGTTGGTTTGGTTTGCATAGCTGAATGGACCTGCATTAGTTAGTCGGGGGCCTGCTGGCAGGTGGCAAGGCGACGACTATGCTGATCGTGCGCATCTAGAAGAGTGCTCCTGGTTGCGGGACGTCAACCACCAATATTACCGTATTACGATGTGTATCGTCTTCTATTGTGCCGAATATCAGTGGACCTGTGAAGAGCGAGAGCGACATTTCGAGACGAATGTTTTCCTTGCTGTCTCTTCTCTGCGCGCGACAGGAGTGGAATCGCTTGGCCCTTCCGCGTATTCTGATATTCTGATGGCAGGGGAGAGTGCACATCACATTCACTCTTCACATTGCCTGGGTGGACTGGCCTGCCTTTGGCTGGGGCTGGGGCTGGGGCTGGGACTGGCGCATGCAGAAAATGGTGGGTGTTTTACCCGGCAAAAGGCCCCCCAGAATCCCAAACCAAAGCGAGATTTCAACAATCTTCTTCTCCATTGGGGCGGGGCCGGGGCGCCTTGCCAGATTAGATTGCTTCAAGAGCCCATCGCTCGTCCGTCCGTCCATCTGTGACGTGGTTGTTCATCGACATTCGCAGTGCAGGCCCCGAGGTGGCAGGCGAGAGCAGGGAACAAGACGACACACTGGAGACTGTGTACCTACCCCTAGTAGAGACGAAAGCGCATTACTTAATTGCGCCACTATGCCAGTATCGACGCCAATGCCGCCTTTTGGCTGGCCACAATCCATACATTGACATTGCAGGGCACAACCGCACCACCTGGGCCAGGGAGGCCTGCGAAGGCCCGCTATTGACTCTCGTGCGAGGGGCGGCCGTCACCACTCAATCGCTCCTGAATGGGTCTTTGGGTCTTATCTTCGGCCACCGATGACATGGCGGGCAACATGCTCCCTGGCGCAACCTGTTTTCCCCGCTTGGATTGCCCGCATTGTTGTCTGAGGGGGGAATAAAATCAAGGATATCAATGTCGTCCGTTCGAGATTGGGGTAGCGCAGAAAGCGTACTTGTACATGACTGCACTGAATACTGCATAGTAGTATGTTGAACACGCGCGATGGGTCGCCCCCTAAATGTCCTTCAGATAGGCCTAAGATATGGCTAGCCTGGCTCGCCTGGGGGAAAGACACGCCAGCCTCGAGCTTGTACGTATCTGCTGGGGGCCGTTAGACTGGCCCCGCTGGACCAGAGCTGCAGCAGCAGACTGGCCAATGGCCAGTGTGTTTTATAGGCGATGCTCGCCCGAACAGGTAACAAGCACGAGCAAAGCTGCAGCCAGGGGTGCGATGCATAGTGCCATAGTGCCATAGTGCCCGCCCACACACCGCTCGGCCGCCTTTTCTTTGGGGCTAGCGCCGCCGCTAGACCACAAAGGTGCTGGGTGCCCCTGCGCCAAAACTTGGAAAGGTCTGGCCTGGCGGTACCTGCTCTTACGTACCCATGCGACCTGTTCATTTTCCGTCCTCGCTCTCCTCCTCGTCCTCCTCGACTCGAATGCGAATGCGAATGCCCATGTCCACTTCCCGTAGTTACTGTATTAGTTAAAGTACCGGTACCGTAGAGAACGGTCCAGGCAGAGAGAGTATTAAGACGGTCACGCTCTTTTCAAGTCGTCTTGCTCTTGTACCCTCTTCAGTCACGAGAGAAAGGGCCTTGTTCTGACCTGTTGGTGATTCCACGCTGCATCTTGTTGCTCGTGTCGTCTTATTGGGGCCGTGACACGACCCACCGCCACAGTCACTGCAACTGGCACCGCGCTCCTTGTCCGTCGTCTGTGTCTGTTCGTTGATCGCCGTCAAGGGCTTGCCTCTGTGTCTCTCCCAATCAAGCAATCGCTAGGCTGGGAAAAACAAAATAGGGGGCTTGTGCTCGTCGTCATTCATTCACAAATCAATTCGATTCGTCTTGTTTCTTGGCTGGCACCACCCGCATCTGATTCAACGCCACTCGACAGCATTTTGCTGGTAAGTCATAATTGAGTCGGCCGTTTCTCTTTGCTCACCGACCGTCCTTGCCTCATTCATTATCACATATTTACCTACTACATCCTACATCCCACTTCCTGCTGCTTGAGCTCTAGAGCTTGGGTTCTAGCTCCTGCGAAGCTCCACCTCATCTTTCGCTCCTTTCACAATCTCGCCATCCAGTCACTCAAATCGCTGCTGCCGGGCTCGAGGAGCGGGTGTCCATGGTTCCCAACAGGCTCTAACACCTTCCCAGTATCATACAAAAAAGAAAGCTTGTTGCAGGCCATCGTTTACGTCTCGGCCGTCTTCACCTTCGAGCGTCTCCGACATAGCGCCGTCGGTCGATATCAATACCTCTACTACGCATCTTCTAGTATCCGTCACATATTCCCACTTCACCATGGCCTCTCCAGTCATCGACGAGAAGGCAGGCATGCCTACCGTGCCATTGACGGTCCGCACCGCAACCCACGTCTCAGATCACTCCTCTCATGACTCCGACACACTCACTCCCACCGCCGAGAAGAACGGCCTCAGCATCGATATGGTGCGAACCTCGGAGGCGTCGACTCCGAGCACACGCAACTGCAATAATCCCTTCGACACAGACATCGAGGCAATGGTCACCTCTTCCAGCGAGCAGCAGTTCAACAGCAGGAAATCGCTGCGCTGCAGCAAGCTGGCGACCAATGACTGCGAGATGTGGCCTGGCAAGGACCACTGGAAACGAAAGGCCAAGGCTGCTAAGATGAAGCGATCGTGCAATTGCCTGGCACACCTCAGCAAGAGGAACCGAATTATCGTTAAGATCCTGATCGGACTTCTCATAATTGGTATTGCCGTCGGTGTTGGCGTTGGTATTTCCAAGCCTCTGGGAGCTGGTATCTGGCACCCTAAAGATTCCTGAGCTAGCTCTGCCGATGGACCCATCACCGTCTTGTGCCAATTGCAAATGGCATCCGACTATACTTGTCACCCACGAAACATCAGCCTTTCCTAAGACCAGCAGGCATGGCTGGCAAGCGATTTCGGACAGAGAATCGGCTCGGGCTCGGGGACATTTTTACACCCCAAGGATATAAGCCGGTCCGCTTCTGTGTATATATTTCCCGTTTTGCGGCCTCATACTTGTACACAGGCCGTCATTTGTCTGGCGTTTCTTCCATTAAGACGACATACAGAACGGCGTTATGGGCGTCTACCACCTTTACTTTTGGTTCGACGATCACCTCGACCGACACGACCTTTTTTTTATTGGACCGGCGTGTGCAACAACAAGCTTTGAAATCAAGAGTTGATTGGTTCTTGTTTCTTCGTTCTCTCATGGCGAGGTGTATGCGCACAAGAGCGAGGATACCAAGTCGCAAAGGATAGAGAGGATATTTGAATGTCCATTAGTCATGTCAAAATAGAGGAGGCATGAGAAATAAAGATTCTGGGGGAACAGAGGCTCCGTCGAGTTATTCCGGGCCCTGCGTCTACTTGTTGCTTTCCGCTGCCACTTATATGTCTCCCAAGCCTTGCCGATGTCGATGTTGTGTTACGCGTGATATCACTATTTAAGTGGAACTCGATAGCCTGGTCCCATCTGCCGCGTCGCAGAAATATGCGGCAACTCGAATCGTCACGGAATGTGCTGAGTTCACTGAGTTGGGGAAGAAATTTGGCCGACTCGCTCATCACTGATGATAAGATGGCCTATTTTATTAGTAGTTGAAAATCCACTGGGATCTCCAATATGGTTGCCCATGTCGAAAGAAAAACGGCAGACTTACCTATGCTAATATAGCCCTTTTTCGCCATCCTCCTCTGTCTTCAGGTTGCGCTGCTGCTCCCAAGAAGCTCGTCGTCTGGTATGCGCCACGGAAACCAAACATTGTTATAGTCTCCCATTTCTATGTCCTGGCCCTCTTCCCTCACCTGGCGATCGCGGAAGACTGCGTACACGGACGCGCAGATGTTCAGCATTGCTATCAGCCCGATGACGACGAACGCTGGTGCCCAATTCTGCGTCATGGTTTCTGGGAAGGGAACGGCGAAACGAATATGAATGGTGGAGGTGCTCTGGATATTTGCTCTCTTGCTGTCCTGCAGCAAGGTAGATGATCGTTGGATCACCGCAGATGAGCAAGGGTGGAAGATAAAAGGGGGTTTGTCGGGATCGAGAAAGCGCAGCGAAGCTTGACCTGATATTTCTAGGAGCATCAAGTGGTCGATAGCACTTTGAGAGTTGTTATATGGCATGTGGTCATCGCAAGAACTGCGTTCCTTCCACAATGTCTTTGTCGAGGTGCTTTGTAGAAAATATCAGGAAAGTAAACAAAGGTTTGTTGGCGAAACAACAGGGACGCGGGAGGTGCCAGAGCCCCAGTCTCAAACTCGAAGGACACTCGTGAAGCAAAAACGAAGAACAAAGAAATCACGAGAGAAAGCTGCATACATCGAGCAGAAAAAATTGTTGTATTATCCTTTGTCATGGGTCTCCTCTCACCTCTATCACTTCTATCAGTCAAGATGTCAGCGAGGGCAGCTCACCTTCAACTCGCTTTCTATACCTGGCCCAGGTCGCGCAGTGGACCGCCTCTTCGCGAGTGGCAGAGCGGCGTCCTATGTTGGTATATCAGCACGTCAACAAAAAGTCTAGTACCGGGATACTTACACTGATGACCGGTCCGGGTCAGCCTCCTCGTCGAGCGTTCTCCTGTGACGATACGCGTAGTGACCAGCGCCCACGCCCATGATAACAGCCAAGATGACCACCACAGCAAGGACCGTTTGCGCATTGGAACTGAGAACCATCGTGAAAAGTCGGGCGCTTATGACGGCTAAGAAATCAGCAAGCGTTACTGGAGAAACTGGTATGGATGTTGTGGGAGTATTGGAAGCTGAGTAAACCTGGAAACCAAAGCAAACGAGTGACTTGGGAGACCCGCGAATGAGGTGCTGCCGTATTATAGTCATTCCTAGTGAGGACAATTCACTCTATTTGCCAGTCTTTGAGATGAAGATCTGGCTGTTCTTTGTCTCTTTCACGCCTACACAGAACAATGGGTGCCTGGTCCCCCAGAGAAGATACGTCGAGATCATGGTGGATAACGTGTGCGTATTCAAGCGATTATAGTTCTATATATATGGGTTTTCTCCTTTATAGTGAACACACCTATGGCTTGACCAGCAGAATTGGGCATTCCCAAGTTGATGAATGTAAGGCCTGTTCAAGAGTGAGAAATCTCGTCAGGGGCATTGCGCCGCCTATGCCTTGCACGCGATCTCGGATCGGCACGTATGGCGAACAGGGCCTTGCAACATGCGCCCATTTTTGCACCCCAGACATGCAGAGAAATAAAAGACCTGCTGCAACTAGGGCGATGAGAACGAGCAGGGCGATCATGTAATCCTCCATCTTGCCTCTATTTGATATTCTTGAGCTATTATATCTATTTCGAATTAGAGAGAGAAGAGAATGTAGATTACTCATTGAACGTTATAGCCTTTATATACTCAATACCTAGAGAGCAATGCTTGCCAAATTCCCGTATGATTGAGTCAGTATCTTACAGCTCAGCGTCTGTGGTCGTTTGATTAGAATACGCACTTCACGACAGGGATGATTCCAGCATTGGAAGTGACAAGTGTTATTAAGACCAAGTGAAAGAAATGTGATCTATAAATCTAGCCACTGTGGGTTGAAACCGTTAAGTACCCATAAAAGGAGATGGGGTGTGGAAATTAGGACTAGGTAGGAGAACTTGAATAACCACAAGTATTTACATCTTCTTCGAAAGGCTAACACTGTATTGTCGGTTGAGTTTTTCACAGTGCAAGCAAATCTTTAAAGAAACAAATTGTTAAATTAATTTAAAAGGCTCCTGCCAGATAACACACTTGAGTCGCGGACCTTATCTGCGTCTGATGAAATAAGAGGACTCGCTCGCGGCTTTGAACTGCGACCTCAAGGATTCCCTCCAAACGAGTATGGCGACCATCAATATGACGAAGATCACAAAGACAATAATAAAGACTATCGCAATATCCATTTTGTTCCTGGCCGTGATCGTTATAGCCGAGTGTCGGAATTTTATTGACAAAAGTTCTCCACACAACTTGACACTAGTACGTTCTGTAGGTCCTTTATATGTTGAGTTTATGACAGATACTGGTGCAGTTACGATACGATTGAAAGTAATCTCAGACTTAGCACTTAACGCTGTTCAATGAAGATCACAGGTGATGTGTTCAGGGACAAGGGTTGTAAATGCGTACCGAAGAGATGATAACATAACACCATTCGTTGCAGAGGAAGATCTATATCGCTGAGCCTGTCGAAGACCGTGGTCGACCACGCTGTCTGCTGTAATGCCTGACACAGCAAACGCACCCTCTCAGGACTAAAACAATTACAGCAACTATGATGGCTGCACCGGCTATCCAGATCCAGATATACATACGTGTTGGCATCCTTTGCAAGAATCCTTTCGCATTCCTAGGATTTGGTGATACCTGAGCGACCTCAAAATCCTGGCCAGCATTCTTGCAAGGGCTCGTTGTCTCCATGGATTGTTTTGGGGGCTTGCGGCTAGAGGATGCAGACTGGACTCACTTTCCGCTGCGCATGATCGTCTCTATTCTCCAACGCGTTCAAGATACCAAGATAGCAAGAATGGTCCGCTAATGGCAATCATATGTCCGACAATAATAGGTGGTTTAGAACGATTCGGGGGTTGCAGAGGCTCTTCACCGTTACTAGTCTACTGGAAGACGGTTTGATGAATGATGTATCGGGGCAACACAACGATGTTTGTGACGTTTTCTTGATACATCTTCTCAGTAAACTACGGAGGATTAGCAGCATATATTGTCAGGATGCTTTTGAAATTGTATCATTTAAACGTAAAGTGACACGGATCTTTTCATCCCTATATAAGCTGTCAGACTCAAGAACCACGAAAATTAGTCGTGAACATGTCGATATTGCGATTTAAAACTCTATTCGGAGTATGGACAACTACACGTCATTTTTCCTCCAAAGACAAGTTCATAGGACTGGCAACTTTTGGATATAGCTACACTCTCCAATTTTACAGGCACGTCGCTCATGATAGTGTATAGATCTGTCATATCCATACTTGCCCAGAAGCTAAGAACTCCTGAGCCATTATGATTGCGAGCCGTGTTGTTTTCCTGGCGCTGATATCTCTGTTAGCATCTTAACCTCGATAGTGGAAACAAAGAAAAGATATCCTGGCAGTGTCCATACCATGTCCACACGCATCATAATCGCGCGCTCGCCAGTTTGAGTATCTAATATAGACACAGTATATCGATGCTGCAAGGAATACTACCCCAATGACGCTTGCCAGCACCAACCCTGCGATGTCATACATGTTGTTTCCGGCATCGTCCGCCATTGCGTGAGTAGGTAGACAGATCAGGATAAACCCGAATGAAAATGAGGGAACCGGCAGAACATGACGAGTGGTAAGCTTCAGTCAAAGCGAGGTTTATATAACACAACGTCTGCCAATTTCATCCTTAAACCCAGCGAGAAGGCGGCGGTGTTGGCGCGTTGATCTTGATCATCGGAATTGCCGTGCCATTGATCTGGGCTCTTCTATGTGCGCTTTCCATTGCTTCGTTGTTGCCACGTCGGCCCTCGATACGAGCGTCCTGCTTCTTTTGAGCTGACATGCGCCAACAGGTGACGATGCCTGCGGTGAGGCACACGAGAAGCACGGCAGAAAATGTGATGGCGAGGGTCGTTCCGGTGGTACCCATAGTGCTCGTGTTCGATGGATGGAACAGTGAAATGTCCCTGGAGCTGTCTAGTCGGAGTCTGGTTTCGCGGGATAATGGCCTTGTTTAAAGCGGGAGATGCGAAGGCTTAAGTCTCCAGATACTGAGAGGACGAAGCAATGCACTTTGCGGACATTGTAAGGAATTCGTGGCCACGACCATCAATATAGCTGCAGAGAGTTATATTTTTTGCTAGTATGATTGTGATGCACCCATCTAGCCAGTCACATCGGTGTTTGCAGACTATGGAGCTCATGATGGACGTCAAGAATACGTGAGTCACTCACGAAGCACATAGATATGGATGATTATATACTCATTGATCTATAGTCAAGTTGTGATTGTCCTCTGTCATCATGCCATGACCCAGCCGTCTATCCCTTACCATAAAAACAGTAATACACACGTACTCCTTTCACATATGCTCGAACCGGAGAGGGGTATGCTGCCTACCAAAATCATGCTTTCATCTCCTTCAACTCCTTCTCTGGATCACCAGTGACAGTCTGGTCATCAGATTTTGCTGACACAGGCCTGGCCTCCTTCTCGGCATCTTGAGATAAACGCTGAGAAGCGGTCTTAGACTGCGCCTTTGTCTCCTCGAGATCGGTCTCGCGACCCGCCTGGGTCTCAGTCTCGAGCTCCGATTCCTTGCCGGCGGCGGTGCCCTCCTCAGCAGCATGGCCCTGCTTGTTCTTCTTTTCCTTGACGCTTCGCCACTCGAGGGCGAGCGCGCCAAAGATTGTTAGGCAGGTCAGAATCAAGGCGACCTGGAAGACTCTTCGCAACGCCTCGTTGTAAGCATCTAGTACGCGAGGCTTGACTGAGTCGGGGAGGTTCGTGATGGTTGTGGCGCCATTGTTCAGAATGAATGACGCATCGAGTCCAGGAATACCCTTCAATCCTGATAGCAACCGGTTGTTCAAGACGTTCTGGCCGACGGAAATGAAGACAGCACCGCCAAGCAATTGAGAAAAGAACATAAGCGAGGTGCCGATCGGGACATCACGCGTTGGGAGGACGGTTTGAGCTGCCAGGTTAGGGGCTTGGAATGTGCAGCCCATACCTAAGCCGTAGATGAACTGATATCCGACCCACTTCGCTTGTCCGGTATTGACTTGGAGTGTTGTCAAAAGTCCAGCACCGATGCACAGCAGACATACGCCGAATTGCATGAACGGCGTGTAATAGCCCACTTTTGAGACGAGGACACCAGTAACCATTGATGCCACAACCATCGGTAGAACCATAGGAAGCAGTCTAATGCCGGAATCGACAGCAGATACACCCTTAATGGCTTGGAACCAGATGGGAAGATAGTAAACAAAGATCATCATCTGCGACCCGATGCAAAGGGTAGACCAGAAGCCAGCCATAATACTGCGCTGCAGGAAAATCCGAGAAGGGACAGTCGCCGTATTGGGCATGAAGATCTGAACTAGCACGAAGCTAATGAGAAGCACACCGCCGAGCACCAAGAGCAAAATGATGCGCCAGTTGCTCCAAGAGTACTCAAGACCTCCCCATTGGAGGGCAAGGAGCAGACAAACGGAACCGGGGATGAAGACGGAGGTTCCCACAGCATCGAGCTGTGACAGCTTCGCTTTGGCAGAAAGATGAGTCGTGTCTCGATCAGGGATATGGAGGAGGAAGGCGATAAAAAGCATCGCAATCCCGCCGAAGGGCAAGTTGATATAAAAACACCTGCAATATGTTAGTTCTGATGAGCTGGGAGCAATTACAGGAGCCCTAAGTACCATCTCCAAGTCACTTTTGATGTGAAAGCGCCTCCAAGAAGAGGACCAATGACCGATGCAAGTCCAAAGACGGCCCCAAAAATGCCCTGGAACAAGGGACGTTTGTGCAGTGGGACAGCATAGACGATGATAACAATCTAGAGCGATGTTGATTAGCGTTGCCAAGGATAGCCGCAAAGCTTGGCGCCATGTGGGAATGGGGACCTGAGACCCAATGACGTGAGCCTTGAATCGTATAATTGACTTACAGCACCGGAGAAGATGCCAGCAGATCCAACACCGCTATTAAGTTCTCATTAGCAAGGATTTTCGATTGGATGTGAACTGGTTGAAGATGAATAGAGTGCTGACAGGGAGAAGGGGGTCGATCCTTGGGCTGGGATTCTTGACGGGAATCTATACTTACGCTATTGCCCGGCCTATAATAAATGCAATCGAATTCGGGGCGGCGCCACAAATGGCAGAGCCAATTTCGAACAAAGCGACAGTCGACAAGAACACAAGCTTCACACTGTAAAACGTGTAGAGCTTGCCAAAGAGCAGCTGAAAGGCGCAGGTAGCCAGCAGATACGCGCTACCGTACCAGCCAATGTCCGTGACAGAGTGGAAGTCATCTGTGATCTGAGGAATGGCAGTAGAAATAATTAATCGATCCTAGAATGGACGTTAGTTTTGCATTATGCCTTCACGAGAAGTTCTTTGTCCCAACGAGGAGGGTCAACATACTAGGGCGACCAAAAACATGCTCACGAAGACGGAGGTCATGAGAAGGGCCAGTTTCAGTCCAGATGGGTAGACGATATCCTCAGTTGCCGTTGTTCTCGTGGGCGCGAGCCCCTCTGGCTGTGCCTCAGCACCATTCTCGCCCTTGGTCGCATTCGGGTCTGGGTGAGGCGCAGACGTGATCGATCCGTCTGCAACGACATTGGTCGCCGCCTCCTCTTTCTTGCCTCGCTTGAAAAAGTTCTTCACCATCTTGCTAACAGCGCTGTGATGGACCAGTTGGGATGCTGGTTTGCTAGAGGTCGGGTGCCTGGTTGGCCCTGTTTGTGTCGCGGGGCAGCTGATTGTGGTATTAAGAGAAAGTGATATGCGGATGAGATCGATGCCGATTAGTGGTGCTTGTTTGGACGGGAAAAATTACAGCGAGTCACCAATTCCATCGCTGATCACACCAAAGTAGATAATAGGGAAAGACAAAATTGACAGACAGCAGAAAAATGCTACTGTAGGGCATCTCTGGCGACAGTTTGGTTTAAAAAGCGAGCCTCCTTCTACCTCCATGGACTTGAGCCCCGGCCTGGACTAGTTAAGCCCGCCTTGTTGTTCTAGATGTCGGGCTCTGTCGGACCCCGATCTCATTTCCAGCAGCCATCCTGAGTGGTCGGCGCAGCCCTCCCCACACGGCACAGCACCCTACACGGAACAAATAGCCTGCGACAACCGACCTGACGGATCGGCCTATTGCTCTCGAGCTCGGCCGTCGAATCGTTTCGCAGGGGAGCATCAGTGCTGCATCCTTTGACGTCGGGTTAAGGCATGTCGGGATTCAAACGACCCTGAAAAAGCTGCAGCCTGGGTGGGTTTTCGTGCCGTCGACGTAATCACTATTTGATGTGACGCCTATGAGTCAATTGCCCGTTCGTTTTACGCTTTCGGTTGGACCTTATCAGATGGCCGAAGTCCGGGCAAATTCCCGTGTTTGCAAGATGGCGCTTTTAGCCGTCACATTTTCTGGCGTCTGCAGGATCGGGTCAGCAATCTCTCCTGCCGGCGGCGTCAATTGAGGTGACTCAGAGTCACTGCGTGACTATCCCGGTGGAGGGCTGAACGGGTCACCACGAGGACGTGGAGCATTCGTTGAACAAGTGTTGATTTTTCTAAATTCACGATTTACGTACCTCCTCGTATGCGCCTACCGCGCACCACAGCCTTGTGGTGCTCTATAGTCCCATAGTTCCAAATCCATATAACTCGCTCGCCGTATCGTACATCGTGATATCATCATACCGCCTTGCAGACTCAGGCGATGTCTGTCGTGAGAGGAGATACATAGTAGTACAAGACACATTCCATAGTGTCGGACGGTTGTCATGAAGGGAGACAATGACTCAAAACTCCTTTCACCACTCTGGTTGCGGCCCTGGCCCGAAGGGAAATGCCTGCGCAGCCATTCCTTGAACACCTGCGCCTGTAGCGGGGACCATGTTGCCCCACATGTCGAAGTCCAGCGTGTTGAAGTCGAGATATGGGACGAACTGATCAAAGCTAGCATCGGTGCCAGTGGCATCCATCGGCCGGAGGCTGGCAAGATCGCTTCCCGAATCCTCGCTCTTCATGTCGTCTTGAGGCATGCTATTTCTCAACGCCTGAATATAAGCAGGTGTTTCGGGAACCTGCCCAAGCCGATTTCGAAGAACTTCTTCTCGTTTCTTCCATGCCTTGAGGACGAATGTTGCAAGATGTGAGTACGACTTCTGCGACGTATCAAAAAGTTCGGAGTGATAAGTGTAGACGTCTTCAATCGTTTCCCATGCTTTCTCCACGAGCGAGCCGCTAGTGCGGAAACATAGTTGCCCAACCATATAGACAAATATATCGAGCTGGAAATGTAGACGCATGAACCAGACGAATCCCGGGTGGTGTGCCGATTTGTACTGATCAACGCCGTGCTCAACAGAATTCACAGCAATCCTAAATGCGTTGTCCTTGTGCGAGTTGACCTCGTCGTGCCAATCCATATGTTGGCCCGCCGGAGCGACCAGTTCTAGGAGCTTGTCGATAATGTGATGCCTCATTTGCTTAGCCATGGCGTGGAGAGCACCCGCGGACGGATCGCAATACTGATCGAGTAAAGCATCGAGCTCCGCCGCGAGGCCTTGGATGATACGCCGGTATTCCTGAATGCGCTCGTTGTGTTCTCCGTCTGTACCCTTCAAAGCTTCAAGTTCATTCATGAGGAGCAGAGCCTCGAGACCAGGGCTCTGGACTAAGAACTTGGCGACCTTGTAGGTCAGCATGACGAGAATCATTTCCGTGGGTCCCTCCCGGTCGACGATGGATTCTGTTGCAGAAGGATATAGATCGACATCATTGATATTCTTGGGTTCCTTCGTATCCCAGCTGCGCGGTAGAAGTGAGTGGCTTAGGCCAGAAAGCATCGCATACTTGGCATCAACCATAATGATCTGCCACCAGAGCCGCCTCCTCATCTCGGTCTCGAAAGGCGATAGACCAAGGAGCTCCCCGTCGCGATGGAGACCCATCTTCTGAGCAACACGGATAACAATACCATTCAGAATCCACGCTGCATGGCGATTGTAGCGCCCCTGTAAAGAGATCTGGCCCACGTGTCAATAAATGCAATTCGGGTCAACCAATGATATGTGACTCACCAGGTAGATCACCAATGCCTGGAGCGTGAAAAGATCGTGCGATTTCAGAAATCCTATACGGATTAGAGAGAGCCGTACGCCCGTAGAAAACCTGTGAAGAGCCTTTTCTCTCGAATAGCCCAGCATTTCTTGGCACTCTTCTGGGGACAAGGCTACGGTGGCAAGAGTGTAAATAGAGAAGAGAAGAGCCTCAACATTCTTGGGTAACCTCTGGGTGCCACTCGTAGCTTCGACAAAGTACGGTTGAAGAGTAGGCACGTGGATAATCTTGGTTAAGGGGTTCACCCTATCAAGATAGATTTGCCAAAGACGGAAGATGTGACCAGGATCGGGTTGTAGGTCGTCCACATTAGTTTCTGGCGAATCTCCTCCCATAATCAAGTCGGAATTGTCATCCGGCGTCATGTAGTCTGAGCTTGGCTCGTCATCATTGTCATCATCGATAATCTCTCGCATAGCCTTCAACTATATGATTGCAATAATGTTAGATACAGTCACACAATGACAGCAATTCGTGACACTCTTCAACTTACTTCATCATAAATAGTTCCAAGAATGAATGAGTCCATGAAGCGGGTTGAGCCGTCCTCGACGACAAGCTTCCCCGCAGGATTCCATTTGAGATATGGGTCCTCGAAGACTGGGATTTGGAGCGGCTTGGGGGATGGCGGGGTCTCAGGTTTCGCAGTTGCGTATTCCTTCAACAACTCTTCACATCGCGCAAGGCGCTCTTGTAAATCTTGGTTCGGTCGCCTTCTCTTGCGCGCTGGAGCCGGGGTACTGGGGGTACAGGTGACGTTGGCCTTGCGATCTTATCAGTACAATTCCACTCCAAGGTTGCGCCTTGCCGCCTTCTTCATATAGGCGCAGCAACGCAACAAAGACATGCCTAACATACCTTTACGCAATTGGCACATGGGAAGTGCCGGTCGCACTTGATCTTGCGATGCTGGCACAGCACACAGGCAAGTATGCGGGGTGCTTTGCTGGTGGTGTTGGTAGCGTGAGAAGACACACTACCCGTCGTGGACGAAGCCATGGTGGGCTTGCTGGCTACAGTGGGAGAGGTTTTTGAAGCGGAGTTCGCGGAATCGACATTACCGTCCCCGGGCTGGGCGTAAACTGCTCAAGACCATTCAGGGCCGGCCAAAGAAGTAGACGATCGGAAAAACTGGAAGAGAAAGAAGGTTTTGCGGTTGCGGAAGTGGGCTAGAAAGAGGGTGAAGAATGAATGGGGGTTTAGTAGGGCAGGTAGATTTTAGGTTTAGGGATGGATGTGCAGTATGCGACTACGCCCGCCCGCCTAGGCTTGCATGCGCGTTGCCTGAAGTGTGTGGTCTGCGCGCGCGCGACAGTGTGTGTGTTAGGTGTAAGTAAGTTAGGTAGGGGGGGAAGGATGACAAAGAAGACCAGAAAGACCAGAAGACAAGACGGCGGAAGCCTGGCGGAACGGGATCCAAGCAAATAGAAGAAGACACGATCACATTGCCGATCGAACCCAAGAGATCTGTCTAACGTAGCTTCACCCAGCCATGATGTTCCATGCATGCGTGCTGAGGAGTACTACGAATACTATCTACATTGGGTGGTAACCTTCCGGCCGCACCATTCTGCTCTGTGCAGTGAACTCTCAGCACCCAAAGTACCCCTCAGGGACTGGAGCTAGCTGGACCCAGTACCACATGCCATGGCATGCGATCCATGTGTTCGGACGACCACTAAGAAAATTTCCTTGTGGCTGAGCTCATTGACTTTTGAAGTCCAACTCCGCCGGTGTGCTGTCACTGGCTCGGCGCCGGAGGGATTACATTCCCTTTACGGTTCCTGGCTGGGCGCTATGCACACCCAGCGCGACTCATACCCATTGCCCACCATCAAAAAGTCGCCGGGAACGATGGACTGGACTGGATTGTGCTGGAAATGGACATGGACCTGGACCTGGCACTGGCCTGGGCTAGCAGGTGACGTCCCGCGCGCGGCACATCGCACCAGCACGGCAGTGTGCAAGATGAATGGCCTCAATGACCTCACCCTCACGCGGTGCCGGTCGTCCCCCAGGCCAAGGTACCGCACCGTAAGGCTTGCTTGGACCGCCGAATATTCGGCGGCACAGTTGATGAGAGGAGACAGTCGCCAGGTGCGCTACACGTCCCCGTCGCTGCCTGGCTTGCCTGACTGCTGGCCTTATCTCGTTTGCTGCATGTGTTAAAATGACGACGACTGCATGGGGCATCGTCAATCTGTCCAGATCAGATAAGCAGCCTGTCCAGAAGGCTGGAGGCTTGTACGGCTCAACGGGGCCACGGCTTCCCGGTCTTCCGGGCGTGATATCGCCTGATGCTTCGGCACCTGCACCTGCACCTGCACCTGCAGCGTCCAAAGAAATTGCCATCTACAATATTTCCATCCTTCGCCAGCCCTGCTACGAGCCTGCGAAGGTGATTCACGCCTCGCATCGGACCTTAAGGCCACCTGGGTGAGGGGATCATGTCTGGAAATCTCCCGAAAGAGCCCGAAACCATTGCATCGCCTACTGTATTTGGTCCGAGTTGCTTCGGGTGCCGCAGGTTTCGGGCCCGACACATATGCTAGAAGGACATGCCAGGTTTTAAAGGATAAGGCACTTGCATGGACAAGCCTAAGGTCCCAGGATACCGAGGGTTGTAAGGCTAAGGGAACTTGTAAGTAGGCACCTCGCTTTGCTCGGATTTGATGCCGATTTGCTAGACAATTCTTGCGACGGCTGCTCCGTCGGGCTCCGTCTCGGAGCGGTACTTCGTTTTCTCGAGTGCAGTATAGTGCCGAAAGGGAAAAATACAGTTAAGAGACTCAAGAGAGTTCTGCTGCTGTTTCGCGTATTAGGTGCCTTAAAGATCTTGGTGTGGGTTTGCCCACGGCATCTCAGATTGTTCGATTCTTTCTAGACCTGTCAGTCACAGAGACAAGTTCGCCGCTTACCTAAGGCACTTTACATCATCATCATAATGGTCTGTGCACTCGGCCCCACCTTACTGAGCTCTGTGGCCGCTGTGGCATTGTGCCTGTAAACTGTACCTGTAAATTGGCGTTCAATTGCTGTCCCCAGAGCCCTGGAACCAATCCCGCGTCACCAATATCAAAAATGGTTTGTGAACCATGCTACCTAGGTACCTCAGTACCCCACAAATTGTCCTGGACCGAGATGCGACTTTGATATCAACGCCTGCTCTTGCATCGCGAAGTCAGTTGACTCTCTTCCGCACAACGCCATCCTGTCGACGATGTCGTGTTGGGCTAGCTTCTGAGTGACTATGCTACTTGCGATGCTTCAGACTAGAAGATAGCTCAAGTCAACATGCTTGTCACTGCAAGTCCGCCGAAACAGTATCAGCAATGCTTTACAAGATCTTGAGATCGCAAGGTTGATGTAGAGGCTGCGGGGGACGTTTGACAATGCAGAGCCTAATTTGTTGACGAGAAGAACGGGATGGAAACTTGTTTATGAGGTTAGGAGGAGTAAGCTCATCGTGACAGGGCGAGGGAGGCGCCACATGGATTTAAAAAGTTGGCGAAATGCCTCCAAATATCCAAGAGGTCGTCGCAAAGGGGGCCTAGAAACATGGGTCAAGTCTCAGATCTTGGCATAAACCGGCTTCACAGTGTATACAGGAGGCCAGAAAACATTCTCTGTACAAATTCCGGATGAAAGCTTGTATTCTCAGTACTACCATTAGAAGTCCAAGCATTGCCTTGAAGATAGCATAACGAACCAAAAACTTATATCTATCGACTATCGCGTTCCATAACGGATATCCAGTTATAGGCTCGTATGAAAGGGGTAGAATAAAACTTGCAAGACGGATCTATCTGAAATCTCGAAGACTTACTAGCCTAGCAAGAGGAAGTTGCTCAGGAGGTCCGAGTTGGCTTGCATATAGTTGAGGGTGACGCGATTTGGCCTGATGGACCTGTCAAAGGTGCAACTTCGATCTAGCGCTGCAT